ATCTACATGCTTTTATAAAAAGACTTAGTTTTGAACTAACTCACAGATAAATGCAAAATTAAAAGCAAAAATTCTAACCACCCTATTTTAACAGTAACGCATATTCGTCGTTACAGAAAGACGTGATCTTTCCTCTTTTATGATCCCAATCCTAATAGTTATCCCTTTTCTATTCATTAGTGATCAATACATCCAACGAAATAAAGATGGATTCAGAAAATATAGAAATTCATCGTTTGTTTTATGTGGAAAATCATAATGGACTAAGTGCTAATGAATGTAGAATGGCAGGTGATTTTCAAAATATGCTGAAAATATTCCGCAATCTTCATCAAATAGAACTCAACAAAACACCAGTATTTGGTACATTTGGTGATAATAACGATGTTAAAAACTATCTTTATTCATTGTTTCCTAATAGTAACAGTCAAGTGAATTCATTATTTGCTAATGTTGAAGAAATACCAGCCATTTTGACAATATTTAATACTGTCAATTTCGTCTTTTTACTGATTGTTAATGAAGATACAACTTTAGAAAGATGCAACTATTTCACTGTTGTCATGCAAAGATTCTTACAAGATATGTGTCCAAATATTCTGATTTGTCCGTCGGAAACATTTTTCAAGAAATTTTCAAGTGAACACTCATTTGATAGTAAACTGTATGGAGTTGAAACATTTGTAGTAAAAACAGAGTCGGTTTATACTAAAGCAGCACAAAGCGTTAAATTAGATGATAAAAACCACATTATAAAATCCTTAGTAGAGGAAGATTGTCGAAATGTTTTGATTACAAACAACAGTTCAGTTTCATATTGTGCAGGACCAGTGTTGCATGAAGTGAATTCAAGTACAAATATCGACAGCTTTCATGAATTGGAACACCTTTTACAAGTCAAATTTCACAATTGCACAGTTAACTTACGTATAATCTGGGATGTTTGTGAAAAATGTAAAATATTTTTATCGACGAATCAAAAAGAAAAAGTCATACACTTGTTTACAAATTATATAGAATCATATAATACTTGTACAGCCAAAACTTATTATGAAGGAAAGTCAGCTGTTAACGATCTACTGGGGATAAACATACTAACCAGAAGACTTCAAGATGACTCTGTCAGATTTGCCAGAAAGGCTTTATATGACACTGCAACGACTTGGCTAACTACTCCCAGCAGTTCTCAACAAACTCCCGATGATATCGCCGATTTCATCATCCGTGCTTTCAATAATAATATCAAAAATAAAACTTTTCATATGAATAGCATATCTGAAAAACGTTTATATTTTATCACCCGACTAAAGAAAGGAGACAAAAAAGACGCCATACGTCAATTACAAGAGAGTTGTATCAAGTCGATTTTATTAGTAATAGAATCAGAAAAGCAATTCAACGTCCATTTTGATATTCATCGATTGCCATATATTCCTCAATTTAACAGCGAAAACCATTTGCAAAATATTACACTTCATTCTTCTGCGCCAATTCAGATTAAAATCAATGAATTAAATTATTTCACAAATCTTTCTGAATCTGATCGTCTTCAGTTTTCAAGAAAACTGAAAGTTGTTGCTTGCTTCAATACAAACGATGGTAAAAGTGAGATTATTATTATTCATAGACCAAATATAAATAATGGAACATTGAGTGAATTCGCTGGATATACTATTTTATTCCATAAAAATAGAGTTTTTAGAAAAATATCAGATTATACTCGTTCGCCAATTCATGTTGCATTTGCATCCAATCAGAATTCGCATATATTATGCTTTTATCATACAAATACTGGAGAAATTACGCGATGGTCATTAAACGAATCGGGAGAACTAAAAGTGAATCCTACCCTTCTGCATTCAAATAGAAGTTCGAGACCTAACGGTGTTAAAAGTCTTGCATTAACAGTAGCGCAAACCTTACTTATTCTCATTGATTCAATTTCTTATGTCTATTCAATCGATATTTCTGGTGAAAATACAGCATCTACATCATTATTATTTAAAAGTGTCAGTGATTCAGCCAGTTCTAGAGATTTCAAATCTGATGATGGTGAACCTTATGAAACAGTTCAAACAATCGGGGAGAAAACTCCAATATTTTTCTTTCAAGCTAAATCTTCTATTGATATAATTGATGAAAACTATTGCCAAATATTAAGCATCAAATTACAACAAAATACATTCTTATATAAGATGCAAGTTTTTACAGTTTTTGCTGATACCTATTGTGTTTTGATTAATCCAAATGCTTATGAAGCTTATTGTATTCAAAATCTCATATCAGATACACGTATCGAACGGCAAGGAAGTTCGCATAATCTAGACGAATCATCTAAAAAATACATTGGTAATCGATTATTGGATATCATTAAAAGAGGTGAAATACTATTTGGTGTTCCCGATTCAAACCATGGAATTCATTATTATATAAAACTTTTACCAGAATATTCGTCAAAGTCTGATAAGATAAAAAATTACTTTAAAGATTTAGGTATTTCAGCGCAATTAACAATCGGATGTGAAAATATGAATTTCGATAGTTCTACAATAGTCGCAGAATCTTTAATTAAGACAATAATCAGTCGTGTACCATTACAACTTTGTATGATAGAAATGAGTAATCTTGTTCCATTGAATAATGGACGACGTGAACGAATGGATCATTTATCATCCAAGTCATTTCCAATTGATATGAAAGCTAGAGAAATATCTTTTTCATATTTAGATTATTTATTAAATAATATTAATGATAATGAAAATATTCGAATTGTTGGTATTATTGGTCGTCAATCAACTGGAAAAAGTTATTTATTAAATCGAATATTTCGAACAAGATTTGCTGTTGCAGCTGGACGATGTACTGATGGAATATGGATGAGTTATGCCTTTATTGACGATACTCATTTTATTATCTTAGATTCTGAAGGATTATTTAGTGATCAAAGAACTGATGATGAAGAAATGAAACTTCTTTCATTTTTAGTTGCTGTTTGTGATATTACAATTCTTAGTCAAGATTTAGGATTTAGTCGATTTCAAGATCGTCTATTTTCTTTGTTATCTCAAGCACCTGAAAAAATAAAGCGAAGTAAAAAATTATTTAAGGGAACATTATGGATTGCAATACGAGATATAAGTAATAATAATGCTCAAGAATCATTAGCTGCTGCTAGAAAAAAATTCGTCGGGTTACATAGTGGAGGCAAAAGCAGTTTTCTCGAACAATTATTTTCGAATACATTTAAAATTCAATTATTACATAATTTTGAAAACAGAAACTTTGATGATGAAATTAACCTAGTACGTCAAGCATTATTCAATTACGACAATAATCGTCCAGAAAGTGTGCCTCGGTGGAAAAACGGTCAAAACCTTTCAGATCGTTTGAAAATTCTTTTAATACAATTATATACTGATGATTTTATTGATTCTGATGAAATACATTGTGATATGAAAATAAAAGAATTAATGGAAGCGATGAGAAGCGCTTGGGCAAGATTTTATTTCGAAGATACAGCAAATATTTCATCCAATGAGCAAATTATAGCAAAAACGTTTGACAATAAACAATATGTCATTCAATTGAATCATGAAGAATTATATTTGGATGAAAATGCTTCTGAAGAAAATTTTGATAACATCTGTAAATTTATCTATAATCCATTTTCTGCTCAAAATAATTCTCTCAAAAAAGAAGGAGAAAATAATCTACGCGTATTTGTCAATGAACTTATCCTAGACGTGCTCAATCATCGCCGGCAACAAGTAAAACAATGTATGATTGAAAAAATTAAAAAGGAATTTCCAGCTGAAAATGATAAAATCAAAGAGCGAAGAACAAAATTTTTGGATGCCATAGAACAATATATGCTTTCATTTAAGTTTAATATTTGTTTGAAAAAATGCTTGAAGTGTGATTTGAAATGTGTTAAAAATTATGAACATACATACGAAACGAAAATATTACTTGAAAAGAAAAAAGAAGAATTGAAGAAGTTACAGAATTCTTTAGGAACTATTGATTTAGCAAATACTCGTGAGACCATGGGAAAATTAAATGAAGACATACTTGGTGCAACATCAAAGGAAAATCAAATTCGCCAAAAAATGAACTTCTTAGACAATGAATTGAAACATTTAATTGAAAAAGAAAACGTTCAAACACAAATTCGCGAATGTGATATAAAAACAGAAAATGAAAATAAAAAAATTCAAGATTGTCAACAAAAAATCAAAGATATTGATGATAGGTTGCATAATCTTTTACCAAATGAAAGAGATCTTCATGAGAACACAGATCAACTGTTAGAAGATTTCGATCAAGAAATATTATCCAAACTGAACATCGCTGAATACAAAAATGACCAATTCAATACACTTATTGATGAGTTTCACAGATATCACAAAAATAATGATAAACCAGAAAATGATTTACTTTGCTTCTCAATCGAAGGAGAAATACCAGACTTAACTAGATCAATCTCTATGATGGATAGAAATATTCAACGAATTTCCAAGTATTCCTTATTTATTCAAGAAACCTTAGTCGATATCAATAAACAACTTGACAATTATAAAGAAAATTTGATAAATACTGAAAATGAGGCTAAAGAACTTGAGCAAAAAAAGAATTCTGCCATAAATGAAAAAGAAGATACGAACAAATTAACTGAAACATACTCAGCAGAACAGGAAGAAATCATCAAAGAGTTAACCACCATAAAAAATGAGCACGAAACTTTATCAAAACAAATTGATGACAAAACTGAGTCCGGTGATCAAGTGAACTCGTCGATCATCAACAAAATTCAACGCTATATGAAAAATTTACAAGACAAACGAAATAATCCTGCATACTTACATGTTTGTGAAGATTATGAAAACATTGAGTCAACAAAACAAGAACAAATTCAACGGTTAGAATTCTCTTCAGAGAAGCAAAAAAGACAAAAAAACAGAGCTAGTACCAACACAGCATTGGAAATCCCATATGACACCATCAAAATCCAAGAGGTTACAGAGGAAGTACATGAAATTGAGGAAATAAATCTTATAGTTCTTGAAACCATTAATGATATTCAAAAAAGAATCAACGATACTGAAGAACATGAATCGATCTTGAAACAAATCGATGAAGAATTCAATCAATTGACTTCTCTCATTGACAATTTACAATTATCTGATGAAAAAATTCAATCAAGTAGAAAGCGGTTACCTCATTTTTCAAAAAAAATCGTCGAAAAGAAAAAGCTTATTACTCAATTAGAAAAAGATGATCCATGCAATGAGATCGATCAGGAAAAACAAGCATGCGAGAACCTAGAAAAACAATATGAACAAATGCTGAATGAATTGAAGCAAATAGAGCAACAAATATCAACTTTATGCGACAATGATCCTCTATTAATTAAAATTTTGAACGATCCAGAAATCGACTTAGACAAAGAGAGGCAGGTATTAAAACATCGTTTTAATGAACTTTCTGATTCTGTGAAAGCTTTGAATGAGAAAAATGAACTACTATCAAATAATATAGTTTCAAACAAGGCGAAGTTAGATGAAAAGGATCAAAAATTGCTGAAAATCAAAGAGAAAATTGAAGAACAAAATACTAAGCACAAAAATTATATGGAAGAAATTCATTCTAATGAAGAACTGTATAAACTAGGTGATGTCCTTCTACAATCACTTACAAACACCAAAAACTTGCTCAATACTAATTTAAAAAGATTGAATAACATCTTGCTGGCAAAAGATCTAATCCATAAGCGTTTACCTTTATTAAGTGCAGTAAAATCTTCTGAAGATAATTTATCACGGTTGACAACTGATAAAGAACAACTGAATAAACGACTGAATGATATGAACAGCATTGTTCGTCCAATGGAGTTCGCAAATAGTCATGAATGTAATGAAAAGTATCAACAAACTGTTAAAGAGCACCAAGATGCATGTTCACACATGGATAACTTAGAAAAGATACGAAAAGATATCGATACTTATTCCGATTTTATAAGTGAGATTAAAGATTTAGAAAGAGAAGCTCAGGATAAGTGTGACTGCGGAACAGATCATAAATGTTCGGCAATATGTCAGATATGTGTTGCAGACAATAATAAAGAAAGTCTGTGTATGTTCAAAGCAGGACATTATGGTGAACATAAATGCGATGGTGGTCATATCTGTATCGAATCTTGTCAAATTTGTGAAATATATGGCAAACCAAAAAGTAGATGCCATTATGCATATGGACACAAAGAACCAGCACATCATCAATGTGGAAGCACTCATCAGTGCCCATCAACATGTATCTGTTCAGATCCATGTACCATACCACTAACACTTGAACGACACGATGAGCATCAATGTCTTAAGAAAGATTGTTGGAAAATGTGTATATTTTCGTGTGGTAAACCTTGTGCGACTCCAGATCATAAACATGATACAACAGCATCATTGGTTACAATAGTCGATGGTCGAGAAACACGTCAAGTGAAGAGACATTTATGTAGTCATGCTCATTACTGCAAAGGTATATGTGATGCACCTGGTATTTGTAAATTAGAATATAAAATAAAACAAACACAATTGACGACAGAATCAGGTGTAGAATTCATCAGGGAGTATATTGAAGTTGAAGAAGTTCGAGCTAAATGTGGAATTAAAATATCAGCAGGAAAATCTTCTCATGATGACACTTTAAATCATCAATGTGATGGACAACATACATGTCAAGAACGATGTCCTGATTGTGGTTCATTTTGTAAAAATCCTTTTGGTCATGATGGATTTCACAGAACACTTCATCGAAATAAAGAACAGCATATATTTACAAGTACAAATCCAAATGATGGAATTGAAATCTGTCCAAATCTATTAGAAGACACTAATGTGATAAAATATAAAGTTGGAGACTCAGCTAATGCAGAAAATTGCACTGAATCTTGTAAACGTCGTGGTCGATCTCATTTTCATTTATTTGAATGTCCTGGTAATTCTGAATGTTTGGGAAAAGTACTTGGTAATAAAGCAAAACATTCTGATGATACATATTTTTATGGACCGGATTGCCCAAGCACAAAGAAATATGATAAAATTCTATGCTCTGCATATTGGTCGCAACATAAATGGCTCACACCTGTTAGTGATGCTGATAAAAACAAAATAGATTTATGTAATACATATTGTAGAAAGCATGTCTTGAAAGATCAAAACAGTATTATTGTCAAAGATTCTGATAGAGGTTTTTGTCAATTGGAAGCTGGTCATATTGATCGACATTTATTGAACTGCCAAAGTGATCATATTTCATTAGAAATGTATCAAGGTATTGATGTATGTTTTGTTATCGATACAACAACCTCTATGGAACCATATTTTGAAAAAGTTAAAAATGCTATTACTCGTATCATTCATGATAGTGAACCTTTACTGAAGCAAAATAAATTAGAATGCGAATTTAAATTTTCTGTTGTTGTTTATCAAGATCATGCACCATCTGAATATAAGTATCGAAATAAAGAACCACCTGAATATATTTATCGTGAATGTGATTTTACAAATTATGAAGAAGCCGTTAATTATGTGAAGGATTTAAAAACTGGCTCAGGTGCCGATTTTTGTGAAGCCGTGCTGGATGGTCTAGACGCTGCATGTGATTTGAAATGGCGTGACAATTCTGATCATCTACTATTTCATATATTGGATGCGCCACCACATGGTAGGCAGTATTATTCGCGGATATGGTGGCATAGTGATTATTGGCCTGATGGTTGTCCATGCGGCAAAACTGCTCAAAATGTTTTATCTAAAATGCAAAGCAAAAAAATCTCTTATCATGTATTACATTGCACAAATCAGTTAAATAAGATGATCGCTGAATTTAAGATTTATATTGATGTCAAAATCCTCAAGCTTAAAGACAACATTACATTTGAAGATGCAATTTCTAAACAAATACATCAGCGATTAATTGAGACTGAAATGACTTTGAAGAAAGCATGATATTGATTGGTCATTATTTATGTCCTTTTTTATTTTATTCTTCTTAACATGTAATCCAGAGAATGAACCCTTCTTATTTCATTTTTTTCTTGACTAGAAAACAAAACACTTAAAAACAAGTCGAGACTGAGGTCGATAGATGTCTATATTCGACTATGTGGGTGTGGGTGTGGGTAAGGGTGTCGGTGTGGGTGTGATTTTAAATATAATATCGAATTAACAATGTGGTATAACGAAAAACGAGAAGACAGAATAATAAATAAATAAATAAATAAATAAATAGAGAAAAGAAAATATATATATGATTATATAAATAAGTAAGAAATAAGTAAATTCTTTTTTGTTTAGTTTTAGATTATATTTTAGTTTTGTTGTTTTAAATTTTATATAATTTTATATGTTTTTAGTTTGTTTTAGTATTCTATTGAAATTTGAACAAAAACGAACTAGTTTTAAATAAATTTAAGAGAAAAAATTGAAATTAAATAGACTTAAGGAAAATCTGAGGCAAATAATCACTATGCCACCATATCCGCGAATAATACTGCCTACCATGTGGTGGCGCATCCAA